AAATACTTTTACAGACTTTCAAACATTTTTTTCAGGTTTTCAGGTATATGTTTTTCAAAATTATTTTTATATACAGAGTGATCAAGTATGCAATGTGACCGTACAGGCTGTATCATCCTTTAGGCTGGCCTGCCCTGCAGGCTGTTGGGCAGGAGGATGGGGACATGCTCCCACCTCTGCCCCATTCCCTGTGAAGTGCCTAGTATACTGAGAGGTGCAGAGGTATTAGATCCTGATCATCACAACGTATCACAGTGGATCAGGAAACATATCATTTGACTTCAATTAAAACTGGCTTTGATACATGTCTAAAAGTAGAATATAAACTCTGAACTCAGGTCTGAGTATTTAGTAGACAGATGAGGCATTCCCCCTCCGACCTCCGCCCCGAGGAAAACAAAGAGGGAAGCAGATAAAATGGAAAGAAAATCCAAAAAACCGTAAGTCTCTTTATATTGATGAAAGAAGGCAGAAAAAAGATAAAGTGATATATTTTTAGCAATGAGAAGCACAGTAAGCCTTGGCATCATGTATCTTAGATAACAGCTGTAACAGTAATAAATCCTGAGGTTTGTAGTGAATTGAAACATTATCATTGTTTCTTTTTATTTGTTTTCATTATGTTTTGTCAGCTGACTACATGCCTTCTTGCTTTACTCTTATGTGTTTTTGGTTTACTTCCTGGAAATAAAATAGATATACAACAATGCATGTATAATCTTTCCCTATAAGCTCCCAGCATAAGCATGGGCGAAGCGCCATTCAGGAAAAGAAGGAAGATGGAACACACTGAAAAGAGAATGGGGAGGAGGGGTCAGATGAATCATGTAATGATTTCCCTATTCTAGATAAATACAGCTGTTTAGATGAGCATGATTTAAGGAACAAGAGACGAGGCTTTCATCTATAGTGATAATTTAGGCCTAATTAAATCTGTCCTAAAGGGCGATGGACTAGATCAATCCAACTGATTCAGCAATCTCATTTTCTGACCTGTTCTCAATCTTACGCAGTTTCTTCTGAAGCAGGGGCTCTCCCATTGTGAGGACTGGCCAAGCACCTCATGGATCATCTGATTCACTTACTGTCTAAAGAAGCCATTTCTTGAGTTAGCCTTTAGAGCAGCAGGACTTACCGAGTGATCCCACGTTGTCTCATGGCACAGAACTTCGCTGTGTGCCTTGCTGTGCTGCACTACTTTTTCATACTGGGCGCAGTCATGTGTCTTTTCTTTGTGGTATGTCCACAGCTGCCGTGCAATTTGGATAGCACTCCTTCCTTTGTGTACCTTATTTTTTAGTTGCCTATCTGTTGCACAAGGCTCTTTGTCCTTTCTGTTTATTTTAATAAAACATGCCTGTACCCAAAAAGGTTCTGGAGGGCTTGACTCTGGTCTACCATTGGATTTCTGAGGGCCAATGAAGAAGATGGAAGCTTTCCTGTAAGTGTCATTGGCACTCACTAGAGCAGTTCAATTTTATTCTTCTTGGCAGGTTTAATAACAAAGGCTGATGTGTTTTTTATATTTGGATATAAATTACAAAAATTGAGAATTATATTTAAATAAAAAAGGTCTGATGTTGATTTAAAAATGTACATGATATACTTTTCCTGCTGTTAATACACCATTTTATTAGGGGTCACTGATGCTCTGGACAGCTATCGTTCCAAAGGACTTGTTATGATCTACAATAGCAACATCTACTTTTTTAAAAAGCAACTGAAATAGAATTAAAATGGCAGGTCACAAGTGACTTCTCTTTGTCCACCAAATCACATCAGTTATATAATCCTCCAAGACATCATGGGCTAATGCAGCTATGCCGATTTATACCAGCTGAGGATTTGGCCCACTATTTATATGCTAACTTGGTGACACATCATGGAAAAAATTGACAAACATTTTATTTAGAGACAATTTTGTCAATATTCATGTACCCTATTCTCCCGTCTTTATTCTAGGAAACATTGCATGAAAAAGAGTTACTCAAAGTTCATTTGCTCTTTTCTCCTTATTTCTCACCTGCAAACAAAATCCTCTGTCTGCAACATTACAATTATGGTTTGAAAAGTTTCCAAGAGATGCCAGCAGCTCTTTAAAGAGACGCTAAATCTGTATTTATATGATGGACTATAGTTAAGTCTGCAAGTGGCTTCCCGGAACCTCCATGACTTCTGCAGCAGCCAGTGCAGCTGGCCTGGGGGCCACCTGAGCAGCTCAGGCAGCCCCTGGGCTAGCCACACCAGTTGCTGCTGGAGCAGTCTTGGGCCAACGCCCCCACCCCCAGCAGCAGCAGGAGTTTGGGTGTGGGAGAGGGCTCAGGGCTGGGGGTTGGCGTGTGGGAGAGGGTGAGAGCTCTGGGCACACCCTGGCCACTCCCGCGCACCCACGACATGCCCCCTCTCCCCAAGATTTAGTCAGGGATATATAGTACAAGTCATGGACAGGTCAAAGGCTGTGAATTTTTGTTTACAGCCCGTGATCTGTCCATGACTTTTACTAAAAATACCCATGACTAAAATGTAGCCTTAACTATAGTGTCTCCTATTGAGTAAATGCTCTAGTGAGCATTTCAAAAACTGTCTGAACTTTAACACTTCTAAAAAAAGTGTATTTTTCTTCTTTCTTAAAACAAAACAGACAACCCACCAGAACATTCTTATACAAACATCTTTCAAACATGTTAGAAGTGTGGCATTAATCTACTTTAACGGTAAACTCAGAGATAAAGACCCATCCTGTTTTGCTGATCCATAGTAGATGATGTGGTCCCTTATTTGGGCCTACACCAACATAGGATTATAGGAATGCAGCCAAAATGGAGAGAGATAAGGATGAAACTTCAGCACTTGAGTCCAGTTTCCTGTATTCTGTAACATTCACTGCAGGTGAAAGATGGCAGATTGAAAATCTTGAAAAGTGAATTCTTCTACTTATTCACAATCCAATTACAGCACAACCAACTACAATGAAAGCTCCCTGTCAGCGTAACTGAGTCCTAGCCTAGACGCAGCATGACTAAGGCTACATCTACACTGCATGATTCTTTTGACGGTGTGCAGAGTATGGACTCAAGTAGCTCTCACCCATCAGCACGGGTTAAAGTAAGAAGGGTACAGGCACACCTGAAGGGTATGGGCACCTACCCAAGTGCATACCCTACACAACTCATTACTTGCCCAAGCCATGGCTCCCCATCTACACTGCTATTCTTACCCGTGTACTGTCCTGCAGTCTCCCAGTGGTTAGAACCTTTCCCTGCCACAGGAAAAGACTCCAGCAACAGGGAAAGACTCTGGCAGCCCAAAAGAGCAGGAAAGGGCTGTGGCAGTTCCCTGCTGCTAGAGCATTTTCCTGCTGGAGGGAAAGACTACCCGCAACTCCCTGTTGCTGGAGGTTTTCCCCACTGCAAGTAAGAACTCTGGCAATAGGGAGGTTGATGGGAAAGGCTCTGCTAGCTCCCCACTGCTGGAGTCCTTCCCCACTGCAGGTAAAGACTCTAACAAGTGGGGAAAGGCTCTGGCTGCTGAAGCTTTCCCTGCAGCTTCCTCCCTCCTCAACCGCCACAGCCTGTCACTGACATATACACATGGCTTGCTTTTCACTGCGGCATGTAGCTACACGACCCTATATGCCACCAAAAGTGGCAAGTAGCGTAGATGTAGCATAAGGTTGAGAGGGTTGTTCAACTTCCACATCCATTCATTCCTTTGCCTCCCTCCCAGAACAGCCACCAAAGGTCCCAGTGTCAATGTTTTCTGTGATGTGGCAACCTGCCCAGTACGAATTGTACTGAGACCATCAATTCAAATGTTGACAACTAAGCAGCCATCAGATGATAACTTGTGGTGCCTTATGAAATCAGTGACTTGGAGTGAAAGACTCTAAATCCCATTAACAACCACTTGAAATCACTGGATCCAGACACCATTCAACAAAAAGACGCCAACTCATTTACTTTCAAAGAAAATGCTTTCACCAGGAGATTCTCAATCGTTAAGTAGAATACCTTGATGTTATATTCACAGAGAGGTTTTTTTTAGTCAAATGAAGTGAAGCATCCTACTTCAAAACTACTCTACTCCATCTCTAAACTAAAAAATAGTGTTCAAAGTTTTAAAAAGATCACTGATACTTACATCTTCTTTAAATATGTAAACATGCTCAGGCCCACTTCCTTAAGTACTGGAGTGTCACTCAGTTATTTGTCACAATATTTAATGGAGGAGATATTTCATCTCAGAAGATGACAATGCTAAAAAATGTGCTTTCCTCATACCCTTGATGTGCAGCAAAGCCATTTCTAGCCATAGGCACTATGAGTTATATATGATTAAAGAAAAATGAAATTGTTGTTAAGGAGGATGAGAGTTTCACATCTTAAAAGAAAGAAATCAACAATGTAATGTTTCTTGAGAAGAAGTCAGCCCTTACAGCAGTTGCCCCATGGGCAGACAGCATAAGAAAAATAGTGGAAGAGCATTCAGTGCAGCTTGTTGTCTACTTCAGCTTAAATGGTGGAAAGTATTAAATATCTATAGCATTTCATCTGGTAAGAGCTGGTATGATGATCATTCTGAGCTATACCCTAAAGTCAAACTAACTAGAAAAAAAGATTCTGAAAACATTTATGCGTGGCAATTTTCTAATATTAATAGAGATATTATTTCAACTTAACTTTCTTGGCTTAATACACTCTCCTCCTGATACTCTTTTGAAGACTAATATTTTGAGTGTGTTAAAAAAAAAAAGTGTTGTCCATAATGAAGACAAGTATAATGGAGGTTTAGTGCATTTGCAAAAGCACTAAAAAAGGAAAAATGTACCACCAGTATTTTAATAATGAATGTGAAGAAAATTTAAACAATTAATGCTTAATTCCCTTTCTATTAATATACATACAGTGAGCATGGAGAAAAAATGAACATAATATATACATTCGACATAAGGTTGGATAATTTGAAGATGTCAATATTTCAGGTTACAGAGCAAAGCTCACCTTGTATCCTGATGATTTGATGTGCACTCCTCGCTTGGTCAGAGTAGATTTCATTCGGATGAAAAAAGAGCGCTCTAGGGTGTTGTCAGTGGTTAGTAGACTGGGGCTTGTTGATTCCACTAGGGAATAGAAAAAAAAACATACACAGATGATTTAGATTTTTATACAGCCCCTCTAAGCTATTTCTCAGGTGCAATCCTTGAACTCGCTAAAAATAAATGACTGATGGATGCTGAGTGTTGTAATCAATTTACCTCATTTACAAAATGCTTATTTAGCAAAAAAAAATTGAAAAATATATGTACAAACAGTAACTCTCATTTTCAGGTTCTTTCTTCCCAAAAGAATTTTAAACACAGAGTTGCCTCATTAACTCTTTCCTTCGCAATTATGCTGCTAGCTTTTTTTTTTTTATTGTTAAGTTCCTTAACGTTATGTGACAGGGTAAGTGTTATTGGGGAGGCAAGGCTGCCTACTGAAAGGCATCTACAAGTTCTAATCCAGAGTTCTATCCCCCGTTTTCCCTACTTTGTTTGCTGTGACACCTTGGGCACACTTCAGCTCTTGATGCCCCAGTTTCCCCATTAGTTTGGGTTAATTAATGCCCAGAAAGCACCCTGTGACCATCAGATGAAAAGCACTACTATTATGATTATCAATAATAACAATAATAATTAGATATTAGTGACTAATGACGATGGAACGGCTTCAAGGTCCATTTAGCATTAAGTGAAGTTTCCTCTTTGAAACTACAGACCACACCTTTGTGTTCAGATGCCTCAGCCACAAGACGTATAGTAGATAAGAACAAACAGTGTGTGTTGAGTATGATAAAATAATACATGCAGATTTAGGGAATATAATACCACCGTGTTCCCCATGCAACTTTTTAATATTTTGGTTTTCAATCCAAAGGCTTCTATGCAATGTTTTCTTCTAACAAATAATTCACAGAATCTTCTGGAGTAACCCTACAACAAACAACTACTGGCAACGAAACATATTTCAGTTCCAAGGAGTTATTATCAGCAACAATGAATAAAAAAAAAGATGTTTAAAATCAAGAAAAATATCTTGTTGCTGTCCTTTTAGAAAATATGATCAATTTCTGGTCAAAACCATTCCAAGTATTTACAAAAGCATTTGAGATGCAGCACTTACAAACCCTGCTTGTTTGTAAGCAAAGGATTATCTAGTGCTGTGCTTGTTCTAATGTGGTCACGTTTTCTTGCATTTATGGCATTTCAACTCTGTTGTGATGAAACTGCTGACAAGAGTGCCCCTTTCTTTAGTATCTCTTTTAAGGTTTTTTGTTTTAGAGAGCATGAATTCGATGTCATTTTAAATGTACAGCTCTTTATCACTCGAGGGAAAAGCAGAGCCATGTTATATTTAGTACTTTCATTTCTTCTGATTAAATATGAATTACTATGAAATTTTTCTCATCATCTAACACGCCATAATACGCCAACAGCTTTTTAATACACTATATAAGCACAAACTTCTGCTCTAAGAGTTTAATTTGCCCCTCTAATCCAATCACATCAACCTTATTTCTCTTATCAGAGATTCCCATTTTGAATTAAATGAGCTCATTAGTTTTAATCAAAAGCAGAGAGATCAAAACTTAAACGTAAATGCTTTAGATCAGAACTGTCAGTCAGCCGTGCAGTTCTATTTTACTAAAACACAAGATCAGAGACCCTTAGAACCAATTTTTTCTCGTAAGGGATGCTGAGAGCTTGAAGATGCTATAGCCTTTTTTTTTCTCCCAAGGACAGATTATACATTTAAGGTTAGACTTAATTTAGAGCTTTTTTTTTCATCCTGGTGGAAATGGAAAAGTACGCCAATCTACTGTTGTCTCTTTCACATTTATTGGTGCTGGTCCTTAGAGACCTGAACATACGTGAAGCCATCAGAATCCATGCCACAAACCTGGCCTCAAAAAATTCAGCCCTGCTCAACAGTATCATGTTTGCAACATCTAAGAAATGAAACTTTCAAAAAAAGGAAATGCATTTCAGGGTCAAGGTTACTGGAGCTCTGATACAGCAATGAACGGCCAACCAGAATACAAGCAGTACTTGTGATATGAGAATCATTATTAATTATTACTGCCTACAGTATAGTGCTTTAAGAGTACATTAAGAAACCACAGCATGGGTGCTTCCTGCTGTGTGAAGAAATGCTAGAATCAGCTTAACATGTGCAGTAGTTGCAGTCAGCGCATTATACCCTAATACTGGCAATAAGGACGACATGTCCCCATGTGTTGTAATGGTAATTACCTAAACACACAGAAATAATGTTAATTAAACACACAAAACCTTGCATCTGAATAAAACTAAAGCTGTGGCATGAACATACCATACCAAAGACATGTAAAGATGAGACTATTTTATCCTTAATTCACATTTGTGAAGAAAAGCAAAATAACCTATATTTAGTAAAGTATCCTTGGCATTGAACATTTCCTGGGTTCCTGTGAGCTTGTATCACAAGCTTGACATTATTTGACCTTTAACATATCTATAAAACCTACATATCTTTCAGTGAACATTATATCACGCAATGTTATTTAATAATGTTAATCATCATTATGCATATGGTATTTTAAAGGTAGGATAAAAAGTTACAGGGACATATTCTATCCTTGGTACATGCACAGAACACACCTACTGACGTCAATGTGAGATTTGCAGAGAGATAAATGGTGGAATATGGCCACTGTGAATGCCCAAGAGTTGATTTTAAATGTTAATCACTGAGCCATTTAGTAATATTTTTTCCAATTATATCGATGGAGAATAGCAATCTAGGTTCCATCAGAATGAAAATCTAAAACATTTCATGTTCGAAGAGATCTTTTGGCATTTTAGAAGTGCAAAAAAGGAAGAATCTGGGAAAGTCCTACTTTGCTTCTATTGGTGATGTTCAAGAGAACAATCCTGCATTCCTTGTACTTCCCAAACTATTACTGAAGACAATATGAATATGGAAGCCAGAAGGAATGTATACATTATCTCCGAGAGCATAAAAATGCAACCTGTGATATTGTACTAATGTGTTACCCAGATTAAAATCTCAAGCAAAACCCCCAGACCCAAATGGGGGAACACATGAACTAAGGCCCAGATTCTGCAATGAGCTTTCTGTGGATGGACATCTGCACCTGCATGGAGCCTCACTGACTTCATGAAGCAGAACCAAACAATATAGAACAATGTAAGTCATACCTCTCCAACAGCAATAACAGAAGCACAGTATCCATGTTTGATGCACAAACATATACATATTCAAACAAGTTGTCCCTGAGGAGAGAGAGCAAGACCCCAATATGATTTATGTCTTAAAGTCCAAGTAAATAAGAAAAGGCTGCCAAAGCTGCAGAAATGAATATCCACCAACTCACACCTTTTTGTCATATGTACTAAAAAAAATGAGAGAAAAGAAGAGAGATGGTATTTTCCCCATGTTAACAAGCAAAAGATTGTTTTTTGAGCTCACTCTTTCAAAGGGCCAGGAGCTTCAGAGGAGTAGATGACAAGCTACAACATTAATACCTCTGCTGAGTTCAAGGGGATTCAGTTAAAGAACAACTTGGTCTCAACACCATTAAAATAAGCTTTCACCTGCCACTAAACTTCTTCTTTGATACAAAGACCTTTGTTAAATTGAACCAAGAAGAAAAACAAGGAGCTGTTTACACACTGCAAAGGGGAGTCCAAACAGGAGGGGACATACACATTAGCAAGAAAGGGATGCTTGCTAGCTCATGTCCTATTGTAGGCTTATAAGCATCTTCCTGAATATTCTCAAAATCTGGTCACAGTCTGCATGTGCAATAGAGAAACACTAAATTCAGGAATGCAACTGGGCAACACAAATATGTAATTTCAGTTGGACTCAATGCTTACACATCCCCTTTAAAATCCTTCTATTTCCTTTTGTGCACAGTTTTGCAATTTATTGCCTCTAACCAGACATTAAAAGAGTTCAAGGAAGATTTAATCGTCAGCAGTTAACTACCCTATTTCTCCCCCATATCATTGTGTCTTAAAGTGTGGTTCTCATCAGAAAAATGACTCTTAAAATGATACTGTTTCCATTGTTTCTTATCCTCTCTCAATAACCTACAGATCAAATTTTCTTACTTTACTAGTAAAAATATTGTTTGATCCAGACACATTGGTGACCAAGGACAGACACAGGGATGGATTTTAAGTGGCAGGCTGCAACTTTATTAAACTTGACAGGGGACGGGTGCAACCCACCCTGTCACCCAGACTCACATACCCAGCGGGGGTTACAGGGCTCCTACCATATAACCCCTAAATCCAGGCACACTATTCTCAGCATGCCCCTAGGATCCAGCTCGCTCTTCTGAATCTTTTTACACCTCCACCCCACAGCCCCTTGGTGAGAGGGACAGAGGGTACTAAAAGAGGAGTACCTTAGCCCCCGAAGGCCACAAGGTCTTCCCCCATACCATAGGTACAAGGTCCATCAGCAAAAGCCCAGGTCTTTTATTTCTCATCTTTTTAGCCTTTTAACCACACTGGAAACCTGCCACAAACTGTGGACCTAACATCACTGCAAGGTACTACCACTAATTACTAAATCCTCCTCCTATTTAATCTATCTGTGCCTCTAAGATGCTGCGAGGAAGGCAAGCCCCCCCCCCCCACAGACCTCAGCCAATTTTGCTTCAAAACAAATTCCTTTCTGGTCCCCAAAACAGGCAATCAATCAGACCCATACGATCTGTAAAACACAGCTCCAATACTACAGTCTTAAGGAGGGGAGGTGCACTGCTGAAATGAAGCAAGAAGAAGCTCCCAAGTACCTGGGCTAAGGTTTGAATTATTGAAAAGGGAGTGTGAAGGGCTAATCAGTTCCCCTCCTCCCCTACCTGGCTGGATGGGTGGGTGGATAAAGTCTCTGGAGAAAGAGGAGCCACTCCTGTGTGTGCTCCCCCAATCCTTTCTACTGAGACTGTCCCAATCACTATCTTGTCCCATCAAGTTTTCCACCCACTGAGGCAAGTGGGTGGCATTTTATAACTGCCAGCCCTGCAAACTCAACCTGGAAGCAGCAAGTCAAGCTGACTTCTTTC